TGATATTGCATCATTGGTAAAACAACCAAAGGATTGTGTATTTTAAAGAAATTTCAGCCCAATACTCTCTTCTAAAAGCATTATATCATAATCAAGGATCTTGTGATCCAGTGCTATTTTTTCTGTATTCTAAAAAGGATGGTGAAGATTTGAGTTTTTAAAGGGATAAAAGTGAGTGAGTGCTTTTTTTTTTGTCAATGGCAATAAAAACACGGTCCTTGTGTGTATCACAGCTTTGATTAATTTGGAATTCCTCAACTTTGATTAATTTTGGATTCCCTTACACTCACGTGCATATCAAATTAATTGTGATTTATTTTGAGTTACAAATCCATCTCTTAGTTTCTCTTTGCTAATTCTATTCTTATCACATATTTTTATTTTTAAAATTAAATTAGAAAGACTGCAATGTGATGAGAGTGAGAAACCACCTCGGGAATTTATAAGACAGCCAGGAAGACCAAGGGAGAATAGGAGGAGAGAGCCAGTGAGAAAGGAGTGAGCCTCACATGTTTTTTTTTTTATTAACCCGGGCTGTTCGGGATGGCAAGAACCCTTAGGGCCCCTCAACAACCCGATTAAAGCGCCTCCCCACTCGAGCCAAGTAAGTCACTGCAGAAGCAGCGGCGGCTAACTATAGAGAACATCCAGCAGGACTCGAACCCCAGACCTTGGGCTTGCTAAGCTCCAAAGTCTAGCAAGTAAACCGCTGACCATATCTGAAGTGGATATGAGCCTCACATGTTGGAAACAAGAAAATTGTTGAAAATATAATGCTTATATGTTACTATTTGTCAATGTTTATAGCGGATCTCGATCATGTAAATAAAATAGTTACAATAATGTTTCTATACTAATAGTTAAATTAAGAATGAACAAAAACTATGCATGAAAGAATCCGTTAAGAATTTTATTTTATCTTCATAAGATAAATTTTGTCTTGATAGGTGATAAACAATTTTCCTAAGATACAATGATTTTCTTCCACGAGTAAATTTAGTAACAACACTTTACAATAATAAAATGTGCAAACCAACTCTGGACTCAAATAAAATGGCATTAGACTCGAACCCGTACCTGCAAATTATGAAATCAAGAATGCAGAGAAGAAAGGAGAGAAAATTTTATTTCTGATAAGTATATTAATGAAATGCAGTCTTGGGGGTATTTATAGGTAAATTTGAAGCTTCCCAGTCCACTGAGGTTGGACTCCTCCTTCAATATGATAGAGGCAAAGTCAATTTCTGCAGCTCCTAATTAACTTGACGCTATTTTGAGGGGATGAAATCTTGTTCCTGAATGCTAGCTGTTGAGTTTCTCTCCAATCATATGAAAAGATAGCACCATGGAGTAATGGTCATTAAAATTGAGTATTTTTTTAGAGGTAAATGATGATTTTGACATGAAAGTTGGTTATTTGAAAAAATATTTATATAGATTGAAAGTTCATGGATGATTCCAAAAAAACACAAAAGCATGTCTAAGCACGAAATAGCATTAGAAGCGCATATGCAAAACCCTAGCTTATTCAAGAAACCAAATCCTCTTTACTACATGTTCGTGTGCTGTACTTTTGCTTCACAACTAAATAATAAGAGGAAAAGAGGTAAGATATATTGATGCACAACTAGAGACCCTCCCCCTGATCAATGAGATAATCGCACAGCCTTTCAACAATCATGTTGCACTGACCCAATGATTAAAGCTGGAATTGTGTTCCTGACAGAAACACCACCAGCGCCTTGAAATAAGGGTAACCCAAAGTCGACAACAACACATCAAAGTAAGGGACCGATGTGGCGATGTGCTTCAAATCTAGAATAAATTAAAAGAGATGACTAACATGAGGCCCTAAAGGAAATGAGTTCAACAATCCATTGAACATGCGAGCGCTAAGATGACCCCAATCGCCCATTTCTTCGACTTCTCCGATTTTGGTCCATCACTCCACTTTTATTTTACTATTGCTACTCGTGCATGACCAGTAACCTTATAGTTGACTCGTTAACCATTATTTGGTTGAGAAATGATCAATTTACCCTTGTGACATTTGGACTTCCGCAGTAAACTTTAAACATGGCAATTGCTCTAACTCATTCGAATGTCATCGTAACTGGCAAGTATGGTACTAATGTTGCTCCCGCTGCTTCGATTAACGCAGAATGATAGCTTTACCCTTAGTTAACCCCGGGTCCGGGTGAGGACGCGTGACGATTCGGACCCCCAGGTTTAGGTCGCTATAGAATTGAACAGAAAATTAACAAACCCAAAAACCCCAAATCGATTTGAATTGAACAAATAACACTTCTACACTGATAGATACGTACAAACCCTAAACCCCCATCAAATAAACCCCTAATCGATCGACCACTTACTTCCAAATCGCTCATTCTTCTCAAAGACTTCAACACAGCAACGATCTTTCACCTTCGAACCTTCAAGTATATTCGATCTTTGAAAGGAATGGAAAATTATGGTTCATAACGAACAATTCATAAAGATTTACAATAAGGTTGTGCTCTCAGCCTCTATCCTATCCTGCCTTTTCTATAGGATTACTCAAAAAACACTTAGAGATAAAAAATCACTTATATTGCGTCTGAGATTTGAATAGAATTATCATTCTCATTCTATTATTTGGTTACAAATATGAAATATGTAGGAATGGACTAATGTAAAATTTAGAAAAGAATGAATTTTAAATTGAATTATCCAAAATACCTTTATAAGTGACAAATAATTTAAATTAACAAAATAATTTTTTTAAAAGAAATGGCAACGGTGATTGATGGTGGTGGAGGTGGAAAGCGGTAATGGTGTAGGTGGTGGCAATGGTGGAAGACATCAGTGGCGTAGATGATTATGGTGGAAAGCAGTGGTAGTGGCGGTGGAAGACAACAGTGTTGTAGGTGGTGGTGGAAGGTGGCGTTGGCAATGGTGGAAGTCAGTGGCAGTTGAGGTAAAGGTGGCGACGACGGTGGTGGAAGGTGGTGGTGGTGGTGATGGAAGTCAGTGGCAGTGGTTGTGGAGGTGGCGGTAGTGGTGGAGGTGTTGGCAGCGATTCTGAAAGGTGGTGGTGGTGATGGAAGTCAATGGTGGAAGTCAGTGGCGGTGAAGGGGGAAGTGGCGGCAGCAGTGGTGGTGGTGATAGAAGTCGGTGGTGGTGGAGGTGGAGGTTGTGGTGGTGATGGAAGTCTATGGAAGTGGAGGGTAGTGGAGGCGGCGGCGTTGCGATGGTAGTGGAAGGCAGCTATGGTGATGACGGTGGTGGAAGGCGGCGACAATAGTGGTGGCAATGGTGAAGGCGGCGACAGTGGTGGTGGCAATGGTGATTGTGGTAGTGGTGGCAATGACGGTGGTGGAAGGCAGTAGAGGTGGCGATGGTGGAAGGCGGTGGCATTGGTGGAAGTTGGTGGTGGCGGTGGCCATAGTGGAGGTGGCTAAAGGCAGTGGAGGTGGGGGTGGTGTGGTGGTTGAAGATGGCAACAATGCTGGCAGTGATGGTGATGGAAGGCAATGGAGGTGGTGGTGATGGTGAAAGTCGGAAGTAGTTTTGGTGGTGGTTAGCCTGAGGATGTTTTGGGTATTTGATTTTTTTTCTTTTTAAATTACTTAAGAATTGAATGGTCATTCCATAGATTTAATTATGGAATAGATTTTCATTCTAATGGAATGTCCATTCCCACCCTAAATTGCATAACAAACAAAGAAATGATTAAAATAGGTATTTCATTCTATTTTATTCCCACACACCAAATATAACATTAAAGAAATGTGTAGTTTTGTATGAAAAGAGCGTGTGGTTTTTGGTCAAGGGTGAATAATCAATTGATGTGAATAAATGGCTTTGTTTGGTTGCTAAATGAGTAGTGTTTGGTTAACGAGGGAGGAGTGTTGGTTAAATGGGGGGTGTTTGTTTAGGGGAGAGGTTCCAAAGCCTTCAGTTTAAGCAAAACGACAAAAAGGGTAGAACTATCATTTTAGTTCCTTACAAAATATCTTTACCTGACAAGGTTTCACAGGGCTTTTGAATGATGTTATGCAGACTTTGGGGGTGTCCTCGATGTATAGACATACCTTAGGAGGTCTAAATGAAGATTACCCAACTAAATAATAGAAATGTTACGCGCACAAAATATAAAATATAGGGTTTTAAAATAAAACATAATAAAATAAAATAATGATTATTGCATGTTACTCATTGGAAATATTTTTTCCAGAATTTGTTTACAATTTTGTATACATGTACATTCAATTTTTTTTTGAATTTTTAACACATAGTTGTAACCAAAGTTTCAAACCCAAGACTAATGCAAGATCAGTCTTAAATTTTAAACACAGGTCCGGCTAAGATTGAAAGTGTATACTGAAAATCAGAATTGCATTGGACTTGAGTTTGAAAATTTTATTCCTTGAGTTAAATGGATTGATCCCTCAATCGGTCCAACTCGTCCGACTTACACTCCCACTGCCAAGGACCGAAATGAGCAGCCAAAGGAACCCATGCATTTAGTTGGAATCCATGTGAGTCCCACCTGAAAGGCTGGGCTTTGTTCGGTGGTCCCTCACTCGATTCTTAGTTTCTGTTCTTAAATCATTTTCCTTCTTTAATTAGAAGTAAAAAAGGTCAACTTATTTTTTATTTTTATTCTGGTAAATTAAAGGAGGACTGGAACACATACACACACTCGAAAAGTTGGACTCTATCAACTAGGCCCCTAGGTAATGCTTGCTTGAAGCTTAAAAACTACGAAGTTCATCACCTGCAAATTCAACTACTTGAATGATGATTACTTCAATTTGAATAAGGAAATTCCGGACTCCATAATTTCAAAATTTAAAACTTGCAGAATGTTAGAATGGTATCTTTAAGGAGCTCATACCTTGCGGTGAACCGACCTGATTTTATTTTCTTCTTTTTCTTAATGCCGCCATACTTACCGGATGGGACCACGATCGTGCAACTATGATGGCCATGTCGCATTGCAGCTAGAGGATGATTATAGAGAAATTCGCAAGCAAGCTGCACTTCTGTGCTCAAAACTCTTATTTTACATATTCATTCAAAGACAAAATATATTGCACACATAATACACACACAGCTAGAGTAATCTAGCTTATTGCTTTTCACATGAATTACATGGTTCTGTGAAAAGATAATTAAGGTTTGGAGCTCAACTGTTTGAAATGATGTAAACCTTTCTTGACCAAATACATCTACCCTGCATTCTTCCTGAACTGCTCATATGGAATGGCAAGGCGAGACTGTTGTATAATACGGGGATCAAGTGTCTTCCACCACTTGACGACAAAGGTGGATCCATCCAAGAAGATATCCTCACCTGCTTTCTTCTCAACTTCTAACCATTTTAGTGCTGCTGTTGCGATCTCACCCTCGTCCTGAGTCGATTTTTTGTTATTAGCTATTTTTTCCTCCAACACAGCCCAAAAAAAGGATTCCGAGAAGGCATTGGGCGGCTTCCTCAGGGCATGTTCAAGCCACCTTTGGGTGAATTTATAACGTTTTGGCCTACCCAATTTCATGTAAGGTCCAGTGTCATCATTCTTGGCGTGCCTGTAGTAGTTGGCAATGTCCAGAGGCTCCACCAATCTCCGGAACTTGGTTCCTAGCTCTATCCACTCTTTCCTGCCCTCGAATTCATCTGGAAGTTCATACCTTTTTAACATTTCGATAACCTCATCCCACATGCCTGCTAGCTCCAGCCTCGTCACATTAGCGTTGAAGTCATTGATGTCTTTCGAAAGCTTGAAGGCATCATAATAACCAATCTTCCGAACTCTACATCCAGTTTGGTAATCCGTTATGCTATTCAGTTTCTCTTCAATAATTCTTGTGTTCGAATTAACCTTTTCCTGGTTTCTCTCTTTTTGCTTCTCTAATTCTCCGGCAGCGCGAAGACACAACCTGGCTGTTGTGCTCTGTCATCCAACAAGCACTCGAAATTAGTTAGGGCCGTGAACAATAATTATGTTAGGATAAACCACAGGAAAGAACTAAAACAATCAAGATATAATGGAAATGAAAACTCACACACCACACATATTATAGAGATTTATTGTGGTTCGTCCGGTGAAATATTTCACTATACGGAAATAAATAAATAAATAAATAAGGAGATGAAGTCTCTAAAATGCCCCAAATACACCCTTTCTGTGTGCCTCTTTCTATTTCGGAATTCTCTATACAACCCCTAGCACCCTTATATATCCAGGTTACAGTAGAGACTAGAAACGGGATCCAAAACCAGCCAAAGACAAAAACTCATGTTTTGGATCAAAACCTGATAATCATGGCTAACAACTCAACAAATTATTTGATTATTGTTAGGATAATCAAGATTTAAAGTTCAAATTTCAAATTTTACTGCATATCATTTTTTTCTGCACATTCCAAAAAATATATAAAGCTTCAATTTACAGTAAAGAAGAGAGAGGATTTGAACTAACCAGGCCAAGGTCATTCAGGGTCCTGTTGATTGTTGCAGCCTCAGGAAGTGCATTGTCATCTGAAGTCAAAGGGAGCTTTTCAGTGGGATCTAAGTAAACCACATCCTGCATTTCTAAGCTTTCTTTCAATTCACTTTCATAGCCCAAATGTTCCTTTAAGCTTCTACTGGCAATCTCTAGAGCTTCTGCTTCATTGTTCAACTGACAACAGTAGAACAACAATTGCAGAACAGCATCGGGGTTCTTCACAACAGCCAGTTTTCCATTCCCTGAGCAGAATATATAGGTGCCAAAAGGTCTATAAGGACTAAGTTGTATAAAGTTGGTTAGAGTTTCCAACAACAAATTGGTGCTCCCCTTGAGACTGCATGCAGCATGGCTTGCAACTGCCGACGCATTTCTCATCACTGTCATAAAGAAAACTAAAGTGTCTGCGGCTCCCTCAATAGATTCACGCTGGGAATTTGTGGATTTTGGATTGAAGAAAGCGAGAATTGTCCCTAATTGTTGTTCAATGGATGCGCAAGGGGAGAGCATTATACGAGGGACAATGTCATACTTCATCACAAAATGTGTGAAGCAATCAGCCCAGTTCTCTCGCCGAAGAGCATGTGGGAAAATACGATCACCAGTAAGAGGAGACCCAAATGTTATGCAGCGAAACGGCTTTTGGCTGCTGTCTGTTCTTGGGTACTTTTCTAAAAAGTAGATGGTTGCAAGAATGGCCACTGGACCACCTGAAGAGTGCCCTGCAAATACTACTCGCTTCTTCTCTTTGACTGCTTTTTCTACCTGAAAATCACATTTGTTAAATTTTATTGAATTTTCAATTTTCAGTGAAGGGGATTAGCAACAAAAAAAAAAAAAAAACTAAATTAACTTTGAAACATTGCTATGAAAGTTGAGAATGAATTGGTTCCATTCTAAAAATGTTTGGGGTTTTCCATATTCTTAAATATCCAAATATTTGAATTGCAACAAATTGGATATTTAAATTTTTTTCAAACTGAACTGATTATGATATATTTTGGGCATGATTCAATAAAGAGGAATATTTGACATAGTTATTCAGTATCCTGACATAGAAGTGATCAAATACCCCTCATTTTTCACAAGTAGAATTGCAACTTACTATTAGTATAATTTAACTAAGCACCATATGGTTAAAAGAGATGTTCATGATAAATATCTCAAAAGTTCACTCATTTGGTGAAATATATTAGAATAAATGATCTCAAAAGTTTACTCATTTGGTAGAATCAAATGTGCTGATCAATATATGCTGGAAGCTAGTTTCAAGTTTCAACACAGTAGTGAACATGTCTGTCTTTCATAAAGCAAATCATTCAATTTTATACTACCAGTACAGGAGGTAGAAGCTGAAGGGTTTTTGGTTAACAAAACCATGGAAGTTATGCACTCATATATATATATATATATATATATATATATATACAAGGTTAAATGCACTTGTAAAAATCTGGAAACATGTACAGTAAGATAATTCCACATGCCCAAATCACAGAAACAATTTGTCAATTAAGTAAACAACTTCAGTCTATCCATATAATCCACTACTGAGGTCAAAATGTGGTGGATCATCAAAGGCCTTCAACAAGCAAATCCTCAAACAATACAAGAAAAATAAAAAATAAAAATTGGGGCAACAATGAACCACTACAAATCCCACAACAATGAAATGAAAATTTTAACCAAGTGATCGGTCACTAATATATATATATATATATATATATATAGGTTATATATTTTAACTAATGGGTATTAGCCAGATATATATATATATATAGGTTATATATTTTAACTAATGGGTATTAGCCAGATAGTATGATGAATATTCTGAAAATAAAAAATATATATTTTTGTTATCGGTAAGGGAAGGTAGCAAATATATTCGTAGTCAACTATAAATCACTAATAGCTAGTTAATTCTATAAACCATTTTCTAACAAAGAGTTGGTAAACATGATAGTAACCTCTCACACACACAAGTTTAGAAGTGTGATAAACTGAAATCTGTACCTCATCTTGGAGCGATGATGTTCTTAGAATCGATGCAAATCTCCCAATGAATGCCTCATTCGCCTTCGCGTCTTCGTCGGTGCCGACGCTCCTGAGAGGTGGGAACATCTTAAGATCAACCTTAATTTCCCCGAAGGCATTATTTCCAGCGAACCAATCAGACACAGACCAAGATCCAGAAAACGCAAAAACAGTCTCCGATGAGCTGCGAATTTTGTCGGACAGGTATGGATTTTTAGACGAAGAAGCGTGAGCTTTCCTGGAGAGTTTACAAGCTGTCTTGATCAGCTCTTCACTCGCGCCAATTCTATCTCTGAGACTACCACCAGCCATCTGTGATTGATAACAACGATGCCGGAGAGCTGCTTGATGCTTCTGCTCTCGCTCCTTTGCTTGATTTGTAGGAAATGGGGGTGGAAGATTTACCAGGACTGCCCCCTGCTTTTGGCTGGTAGTTTATGGGGGTGGATGGAGGACATTTTTGTCTTTAGACAATCGCTGACTTGGAGTCTTGTTGACTGACTCGGCATGGAATGCGATTGGATAGTAGGAAATATATAGGAAAAATTACTTCCACCTCCAATTATTTTACTTTTGCTGTAATTGTGGTGGTGATGTCTGAATGATAAAAAAAATTGAACTAATTTTAAGTTCAAACTTCACTCCAATCTAATTACTAATTATCGTCAGATAAAATAAATAAATAAATAAAATGGTCAATTTATTCTCAAGTTTGTTCGCAATCTGCTTAAAGCTTTTGTTTCTCTCTTTGCTTGATTTGCAGGGAAAAGGAGTGGAAGATTTACCAGGACTGCCCCCGCTTTTCGGTTCGATTTCACGGGAATGATGGGGATGATGGATGGAGGACATTTAAGTCTTTAGACAATCATTGACTTGGAGTCTGCTTTTTATTTTATTTTATTTTTTTATCTTACTTCGAGTCCTGGTAAAATGTGATGGTTAGGGGGAAATTTCCAAGGAATTTCGAGGTAAAATGCCTCCACTTCCAATTATTTTGCCTTTGCCTGATTTTTAGGAAAAAGGAGTGGAAGATTTACCAGGACTACCCCTACTTTTGGCTTGTAGTTTATGGGAATCGTGGGGTGGATGGAGGACATTTTTGTCTTTAGACAATCATCGACTTGGGAGTCTTCCTGACCGACTCAGCATGGAATGTGATAGGATGGTAGGAAATATATAGGAAAAATTACTACGACCTCCAATTATTTTATTTTAGCTCGACTCCATTCACATCCTACCTCCGATTACAGTATTTGATATTCTGGTACTAATTGGGATGGCAAATTATGATAACACCCATCATCACGACTCGAACACGATATACGATAAGCGAGTTTAAATTGATCTTAAACAAGTTCCGGACATAAATGAGTTGACACGATTAATCCATTTGCTTAACTGTGTCGAGTTAGGATTAAGTGTGTAACCCGTTTAACTAAACATGTTATAATCGTAAATATAACTTATGTAATATGTTACCTGTTTAAACTCAATTATTATGAATAGTCAAGCCTTTTCAGTATAAACTTTGTCTACACCTTATGAATTTTCTTCTTATTTTGAATTTTTGGGTAAATTGTGACAATTTTTTATTATTATTTAATTAAATATTAAATGTTTGGTTTTAATAAACATGTCATTAAATAGGTTAACACGTTTACCTGTTTAATAAATAGGTCGGGTTAGTGTTAAAGGTTCTTGACACGATTATGATACGCACAATTATGACCCATAAACACAAATTATCATCCCTAGCACTAATCATGTTTTACTTGTTTCCAATAATATGCTCAATTAATATCAAGTTTGTTTGCAATATGCTTAAAGCTTTTGTTCTCTCATTGCTTGATTTGTAGGGAAAAGGACTGGAAGATTACTCGGAGTCTAGGACTGCCCCTGCTTTTGGGTTCTAGTTCATGGAGGGCATTTTAGTCTTTAGACAATTATTTTATTTTATTTTATTTTTTATCTTACTTGGAGTCTCCTTGACTTGGCCTGGAATGTGATTGGCTAGTGGGAAATTTCTAGAGAATTTCGAGGAAAAATGCTTCCACTCCCAATTATTTTGCCTGTGCTTGACTCATTCCGGTCAAGCAGATTCTAACTCCAATTACATGCGTATGAAATTGCTAGGGGTGGGTGGTAGCCATTGGGCTAGCTGGAGGGTATTATGGCTTCTTATGACTAAACTAAAGTTCTTGAGTTTTAAAATATAAGGTGGAGGGTTTTACGAGACAAAAATGAGTTTATGAGAATATATTCCTTGTCATATATTCCTTGTCAGTTGTCACTGGCAACAAAAAAAAAATATATATATATATATGTATATATAAATAATTCTTTATAAATAAAAAAAAAATATATATATATATATATATATATATATATATCTGTATATATAAATAATTCTTTATTCCCTGCATCAAAATATTACCATGTATTCAACAGTAAACGAGTAGAGACTTCAGGACCGGTGGGTGGGAATAAAGTGAAGTTAGTTTGCGATGACACTCGGAATTTTAGCCTGTAATAGGAAGAAAACCAACCAGGAAGGAAAATCACACTCAGCAGTGAAACGATTCACTGTCTCAAAACAAAAAACAACAAATTATGCTTCGGGCTCATACCCACACCACTCTATTAAAAATTAACTATTGAATATTGCTGGCTTTACGGCTCCCATCCAAACACTCTTAACTTTAAACTTACTACTCAATCCTTGTAGAAGGGATATGTAATACCCCTAATTTTAAAATAACAGTTTCGGTATTTATTTATTTATTTTTATTGTATTTTTAATTTTTAATTGATTATTTGACTAATTATTTATGTGTTTAATTCAATTAAGTGTTACTTGATTAATTGGCTATTTGTCTAGGTGTTATTTGTATTATTTGTTTGTTAGATTGTGCGCTTAAATGATATGTTTGATTAATTATAATTAATTATAGATTAAATGATTAAATGTTTTATTTTATTTTATTTTATGGTTATGGTTAGTAGTAATGGGCCAACCAATTAGGTCCCATGATTTACTTGAATAGGAGGTTTAATGGGTATGGATAATTACCCATAGATAGTTGTATATGTATATATATATATATATAAAAGGAAAGTAATTAATTAATTAATATTATAGTAACTTTAGTATTAATAAATAATTTGATATATATATATATATATATATATATATATATATATATATATATATTATATAATAAGGATATATATAGACTTTATACGTATCATGTTTTAAGCTACCTTTTAATATTATTGTAACTTTAGTATTAATAAATAATTTGATATATATATTTTATTTATTTAATAAGGATATAAATAAATTATATATGTAACATATTTTAAGTTACCTTTTTAATATTTTATTTTTATTATTTTCTTTATTAAGTTGACTTGGAATGGGAAAAGGAGTATGGTTATTATTTAGCCTATAAATATATAACTATAGGTTTGTAAAAGGGGGTTAAAAATATATCACGTAATATATTTTAGAGAGAGAGAGTTGGAGAGAGAAAGAGGAAGAAGAAGGAAAAAGGAGAAGAACCTTTAGAAAAGAAGATCAAGGAAGAAGAAGTTTAACTTTCGACCCGAAGGTTTAAGACAAGTTTTTCTTCTATATCTTTCCCTTTGATTTGTGTTTCTATATATGCCTAGGAAATTCCAGGATGCTTAAACATTAAAATTGAATAATTTTTGCATGCTTGAATTGGTTTAGAACAAAGGGTTTTATGTGTTTACATATATATTCTTGAGTTAAATAATTCTTGAATTTTGATGCGTGATTTGGTATTTAAGTTGGATCTTTACATGTTAAAATATCTAAAACAAATTAATATGGACTTATGGAATTAGATTGATGCCTTAGAACCTTTAACAATGAAGAACATGTGTACAGATGGATTTCTTGGCAGATTTGCGTAATAGTGCTCGATCTGCTGTTACAGTGCTCGACCATTGGAAGCAAAGATCGAGCCTTGAAAGAAAAGCTCGCGCGCATAAGTGAAAAGCTCGAACCTTGGATGTAAAGCTCGAGCCATGGACAAGAAGTTCAAGCCATAGACAGAAAGCTCGAGCCATGGAGACAAAGCTCGAGCAATTAGGACAAAAGCTCGAGCCTTACCTGGGAGTTTTTGGAAACATCGTGTAAATTGTTTTATTTGATTTTGAGGAGTCATGAACATTAAATAAGGACTAGGTATGAATTTAAATAAATTCTAAACAGACTTAAATGTAACAATGCATGCTATTTGGATTCTTTGAGGAATGAATGGATTTTTTTTTTTTTTTTTAATTATTCTAACAATTGAGATTAAATGTGTAGCATAAATTGTATATGGAGAATGCTTACTTGACTGTATAATAAAATATCAGCATGTTTAAGATTCAGTTTGTGTAGGATATATGATGTAGGAAGTTTAAATAAATTATAAGTCATTCCTATTCTGTGATAGCATGATATTATATTATTATGTTAATTTTTGGATTTTTTGATGTATTATTTTATTTGTTATATCAATTATTGGATTGTGTGGATGTAGTGCATCAGTATGGGATGGTGACAGTATGGGATGGTGACACTCTAAGGACGGATTAATTTATCAGTTAAGTCCTACCTATTTTGTATAAGGAAATGGATTAACTAAAATGTATAAGTCCTACTTATATTCGTGTCAGGTCAATTGAACAAGTTGGATGATATATAGTGGATTACTTTATATTGGATAGGATGGATGATATATATACATACATATATACGCACATATAGTGGGCATAAGTACCTAGACCTACTATGGCACATAACTACATTATACCTAGCTACACATCCCTGGCAATATACACACCCTAACCACTGATCCTGAGGCTCAAACTCATACCATAGCATATATATACATACATATATATATATATATGTATATATATATGTATGTATTTATATATATATATATATGGACTACTAGTTATTGTTGAGTTGACTAGGATGTATACATGTATCGAATCTCTGTTTGGACTGTAATAGAGTAGAACTTGTTTCTGGGCCAGACCCACCATTATTTTTCAGGTGTTCTTCAGGTGTAGAGATTGTTCGTACTGAGCAGGGATCAGTTTACTTCACTCTTCCGAATTATCTACATAGGATTTTCCTTTATGATTTAGTTTTTAGATTTGGTCATTATTTCAGTTACTTATTCAGTTTGGATTTTTCTAGGGGTCCACATAGTATGGATTCCCGAGTTGTATTATTTTTAGAGGATTAATTGTATCAGAAGGATTTATTAATTAATGAAAATTTATTATGAGGATTTATTGGATTATCATTTTAATGTTCATTTCAACATTTTTATTTATTTTTTATTTATCCTCTTGTATTCTGTGTTAGATTATTACCGAT